AAGTATTTTAATTGAAAAGTTATATTACAAAATTGAAGAGTATTTGTTAGATAAAGATATATGGAAAGCCAACATGAGTCTAGATTCCACACAATTATGATTCAAAGTCCATAGGATTTAAGATTATATGAAAAGAGCAATCCCTAGAGTTTCTTGCTCGTTCTTCTCAGGAAGGTTAGCGTAGCTTAAATAATGACGTTTTCAATTTTAAAAATTTTACCTATGGAACAAATTATTATGTAACTTTGACTTTGATTAACTTACCACAGCGTCGATTTTCATATTACATATATACAGTATCATATTATAATTGGTTTGAAAATTGGGTTCAGCTTCACAAACCTTCTTTTTATAAGACGTTACGTTCTGTGAGGTTATAGTTATCAAATGTCTAGTGCGTGACTAGAGATTTGATAAAATACTTTGTAATTATTTATTGTTAGACAATCTGATTATAAAATTTATAACATTGACTAAATGGTGTTTTTAACCCGCGACGCAAAGAGGGGAGTTATAAATTTGAAGACTGTTTTGTTGACAAATGGACTGATGGATGATTTGAAGGCCATTTAATCAAAATGGTACTTAGTTATGTCCAGCTGAGTTTTCTCTGTCTTTAGATATCTTATTTTTAGTTACAGGTTTCTTATCACGGTATAACGTCTTATTATTTTCCCGATGTTTTATGGCCACGGGTTGACTCCGTGATATGCCTATTAATTAAATATTATTCAATTTGGACTAGCTCAGGGGTCGGCAACCTGCGGCTCGCGAGGCGCATGCGGCTCTTTCGAAGTGAAGTTGTGGTTCTTTCGTTTACCATTAAACCACCCTGAACTAGAAGACGACAAATTATTGCAAAAATGGAAGAAAAGGGAAACCTAGCCTATGCTTTGCTAGAATAAATGGTTTGTTTCGAAAAAAAAATACTTAAATACTTTTGTGGAAGACATTGACAGCGGTAAATTACTTCACTTTGAAAACCAACGCAACTATTTACACGAATTACTTCAACACAGATCAAAATCAAAGACAATTTAAATCAAAATAAAATACCTTTATATAAGCAAGTACTATTTAATATTGGCAAGAAAAATTTTAGTGGCTCTAAACCGTGAAATTTTGAAAATTGTTATTTTTGCCTCTTCAAACTCAAATGGTTGTCTACCCCTGGACTAGCTAAATCAATTTGCTCCTGAAGGAACAGTGGGGCTATAATTCCTACCGATCATATGTATAAAGCTATTTGGTCTAGAGATAAACTATTAATTTATAAACAGAGTAAAGATAAATTTCTAAAGCAAGGCAATAGTGAGTAGGCATTATTAGTCACATCATTATCACGCTTGATATGAGGCGAGATTTTGGCATTTGTATTGATTCAACCGACTTCAACAAAAGAAGGAGGTTCTCAATTTTTTGTCTTACAATATTTTGACTTACAACACCTCACGTGAGAGGTATCGATTTATTTTACTTTTACTTGAACTATGACGTTTAAACATGTGAAATTTGGTATGGTATGTAATCCGATGACATTATAATAATACGGTATTCTTGATCTGACGTTACAACCAAGTCTGCCTGTAGACTGCCCATATACTTACAGCAGAAATCATGGAATTGGTCACCGCGAGTTGTTATCTTATGGATGATAAATGGTGTTTTTATTGACAGGTTGTGCAGGCGTTCTTTTTTTAAATTTTATTTTAAAATTTAAAAATCCGTTTTGTCAGCTTCCCATAATTTAGTTTTGGAATTTTTTGACTTTATTATTATGGAAACGATATGCCAATTAAGTACTTTATTCTTATAATATCAAGTGACGGGACGAACAAGTCGTGCGTCTGATAGTAAGCGACACGCCTGTCCATAACAGTTGCAGTGACACTCAGAGATTTAAATCGCAAAGATCTGAGGTGCACTGCCTCTGCTTCTTTAGCAGCAGTAGAGTTAGTACTCTACTGCTGCTAAAGAAAGGAGTTAAGGTTCATTATCTACTGAAAGTGACCGGAGAGGTGTTATTTTGATAAAGCACTATCGGTTGCTGACACAGCTCCACAATAACTGACCAGTTAACATTGCTTCCCGTCGCTATATTCTAGCGATAACTTTAGTTAAATAGATACTTAATTTACAGGCAGAGGGTAAATACAGAAGTAAAAATAACCTTACCTATTTCTGCCCCCAAGCAGTAATATGAGCATTACTGCGTTACAGGCACATAGGACTTGTCAACTTATGTCTCAGGGTGACAGGCCCAATGACAGTGCACTGAAACTGTTATGGACAGCCGTGTCGCTTAACTACGCACACGATTTGTTCGTCCTGTCAATTTTGTACATAAAAAAAAATGGCGCGTTGACCCAGTATATCCTAAAGTTCCCAAAGGCGTTAGTTTTCAGTCAGGATCAAAGAAAGGGACATAATGTAGCAATACTTTTTAATCAACGACTATGTGTAAAATTATTCATTTAAACTAAATATAAAAAAGTGTAAATAGTGGTTCTAAAATAAAATCCATTAACTATGTAAGTGCTTATGCGAGTGTGATTATAAATATAGCTGTAAATGTAAATTGTGATTGTTAATTTATGTTTTAATGTATTAAAATAAAAGCGTACATTTTGGAAAGGCCGCGGAAAATCTAATTCGCTTTGTCGTAATATTATGTGTATATTAATTATTAAATTTAAATAGTTATTATTTAAAGAATGTTTTTAAACGATAACAATAACGCCGAGCGGTAACTTCGAATAAGTTAGAAATCAGAATAAGGTTATTTATTAATAGATATGTGATATATATATGTGTGGACACTGGTCCCGGGAACCAATTCCGGTGGGACCAATTTGGTTAATGAATTTTTCTAAATTAGTTCTCGTCTGGGTGTTCTGGGTAGTGCCCCGGAGTCAATCGGGTAATTTTAGGTTATTTTTCTCTGCCTAATTTTGGTGGCAATTTTTACTATTTTCATGAATATAAAGTAATACTTATATTCCAGTGTAGTATCTTGATATATTATTTAATATTTCATTCGAATTTCACTCGAATACATAAATAATAAAAATGTACACCGAAATTAGGTGAAGATAACTTACCTAAAAATTACCATATGCTCAGATAGATGATGTGGTTGTCTAGCATATTATTTATTTAAATAAAAGTTATTCTTTTTTGGAGTTTTCAAATTAAGTATGGTTTCAAAATACAGTTAGGAATACTGCGGCACTGTATCGCGTGTTTGATGTATGACATTTTTGCTGTGATGCGGAAAAAGGCGATTGTTTTGAGATTACAAGTCCTAACATAATAGTTTTTAGTATCAGTACAACACCTTGTGAAACAGTTCGTCCAGGGAAATAGTGCCACCTTATCTATGGCAATGTGAGCATTACTACGTTCCAGTTTTGAAATGTAAGGGTGCTGGTTAAATTACAGGCACACGGGACTTATAAACGTATGTTTCACAGTGTTGGGCGCAGTCACAATGTCCCTCAGACCTTTCGAATTAAAGTTCTTTGTGACATTGCAACTGCTATGGACAGGCGTGTCGCTTACTACCAGCGCATGACGTGTTCGTTCCGTCTCTTGGTATCATAAAAAGAAAAAGTCTTGATTCGTTTGCTGCTCTGTTTCATGCGTTACCATTTTATCCAGGTTTTGGAGAGGAGATGAGGCAGCGACTTCCTTGAGAAACTAGTGTATAAATGCTGCGGCTGCCGCGTTTCTATAGTACATAGGTCAAGTTTGTTAAACCACGCAGACGGTTTAGACGTGGATAACATCCCGCTTTTCGAGTCCCGCGGTCCCCAAAATACACAAGATTAGTTCTTTTTGAAATTTTTGATCACCAAACATTTTTAATTTAGTTTTATTCTTAAACATTTCCTAACTATCATAAACATGTGGTTTACTTTTAAAACAATAATAAATTTACAGGCGTCCTGTTTTAAGGGACAGAAGTAATTATCACGTATAGAGTTAGACAACGGCTTCACTTACAGACAGTTTGGAACAGGAGTAACAGCAACTTGACGATGTTACATAATAAGTTCGATTTTTCTTTGCTGTGAAATCTTACTCAAAGAACAAAATCAATGGTAATTATTAATACATAAACTAAGTGTAACTAATACAATTGTGGATCTATTACGCTATCTTCATTAATCAATAAAATAAAAAAAATTAGATTCTTGCATAATGTACATTCAAACAAGCATTTTAAGTTTCATTTTGTTTGTATTACTTATTGTTAAAAGAGACTCATTCCTAACAGTAGGACGGTAAGTATAATGTCAGTTTAAAAATAATAACCCCGTCGGATGAAGGGAAAATGAATTACATTTATTTGAAATACATTTTAAACCAGTAGTTAAGATTAAAGTATATACATCATTTTAATGTGCGAATTGGGTAGTTAGTTTCACTTGTTGATTATTACGATTATATTCACTTGTTACACTTTATGTGTAACTGTTATTTTAACTTTTTTTTTGTACATATGTTATTTTTTTGTAGATCATATCAGTTTACGTAATCTGTGTAATTATACAGTTCATAATGATAATAGGCTTTTAAAGTTATTGTTTAATTGATGTAAATGTAATAAACACATCGAATTAAAATTGAATGAAGTTATATAAAAACAAAAATGTTAGAATTAATTTATAAAAATAAACCATAAATCTTTGAAAGAGATTGACATTATTTAACACCGCAGGGCGGCGCTGTTCCCGCCCGCCCTTGCATACTGTTCAATTTAACTATTACCTTAGGCGCTGTTGTTTAAACTTTTTTCTTTTATTCTTTATCGCTAATTGCTTCTTTATTTGTTAAAAAATATTGAAACATTTTTTAAAAAAGAAAAAATATTACGACGGCTTTTTAATCTATTTTTAATGATTCGTTTTGTTATTGGAAATGTTACTTTCAAATCCGAAGTAGTTTTAAATATAAGCATGTTTATTAAGAGGTAAGTTCAAGTAAAAGTAACTCACCGGTATGACAGTAGTCCTCGAGGTAATGCCTCGCAGCTCTCTGCACTATCGAGTAGTAGAGGCTGACAGAAGAAGCGAGCGCCATCTTCTCTTCTCTCCTTCTTCCTTCTTCGCTAACTGGTGCCGGCTCCTCGGCGTGTTACTAATTGAGCGTGTACAGTTTCATTGAGAAACAAAACAAAACATACGACAACTGAAACTTGTTAACTGCATCGGTTTGTGTTTAAAAAAAGAATCGAAAAAAAGAATCTAGTTTGAACTGCGTTTAGTTGCGGTCGACCAAAAAATGTTTTCTGTTTTCAATTTTTTTGCCGGGAAAAATTTTTTTTCGACGAAAAGTGTTCACGGTGTTCCATTTTTTTTTCTGTCCAAAGTCACAATTTAGTGGGCATTTCGCGCCGCTAAACTACCGCCGTCCAAAAGTCTACGCGAAATGAAACACGTAAGGAAAATAATAGAAACGTTTTGGATGCGGGCGGCGCGCGCCGCGGGCTCGCTGAGACTGCCGGCACTCGCCCGTTTTTTTGCCTCCCTTCTACGGAGGATGCGCCTCCACTCACTACGAATAATCCTATAATTTTCAATTTTTGATATACTTTCCCAAATCCTGGCATTCCTTTTCTTATGTCATAAAATTTTACCAACATTCTAATTAGAACGGAATTTTAATTTTAAAAAACTTTTACTAATTCATTTTTGGAATATGAATGCAATTTAATTAACTTTTTTGCAAAAGAAATTTAATATTTAAAAAAAAAGGTTAAGAAAATGTATTAAAAATCTCTGTCACTTACTTGTTTAATTCATTTCTAATCAGATTCAAATTGGCGAAAAAAGGGAAATGGCGGGCGATGAAAGGCGGGAAAATAAGTTTTGAGACGTTTGGAGGTCGGAGTAACGCAGTGTTTACGCGCTTACGTTTATTTCGCTCCTAACTTGCGCTCGGCAACTTCAAGTTTGTTTTGTTTTATGGTCATCTGTTTTATGAGCTTCACTTTTTGATTGTTTGCTCTTATGATTGTGTCTTGATTTTGAAAGTGTTAGAAAAGTTCTTCTAGTGGTCTTGTGTCTTTACGGGTTCTAGTTAAAAACGTATTACGGTCATTGTGGTAATAAAGGCTTTCTTATTTTTTTTTTTCGTACACGAGCTGAATGAAAATATATAAAACTTCACAAAGCCTAAAAAAGTTGTGATCATCAAAGCTCTTTGAAGCGTTAAGCGATTGAGGAAGGCATTCCAAAGTCGGGATTAAGCTGTTGCACGAGCTTATCGGTAGCGTAACATAATCATCGGCGCAATTATGATGAAACCCTTTAAAAACGAATCGCGCAAAATAAAGAAAAAATGAGAAAAATGTTCATCAACGCGACACTGCCTCCCCCCCGCGTGCCCCCGGGCCCCGCACCCCGAGCGGCGGGTGGTGCGACAAGGACAAAGTACAAAGAGTCTACACCCATCCCTGTCGGTGCATCTCGCGCCACCAAGTTTCGTACGAAAACTACCCGCGCTGCGCACCAACCTTCTAATTTCAAAACGACGCAACTCCATACTTCTATATTCAAATTGAAACCTTTTCAATTAGAGCGTTAGCTCCAATATTGAATTGACCGGAAAAGAACACCTCGTGTGATATAGTGGATGCTGAAGTTTTGGACTCCTGCAAGTCACGCACACAGAGAAGCGCTAAGTTTAGCCCTCGTGTATACACGGTGCACTCACGCACACTATAGCAACTTCCTTGTGACTTTCGTTCGTGTAGGAGTAAAGCTTTAGTGTGCGTCAAAAGTTCGTATTCAAGTTTTCGGTGGAGTTTCTTTGTGTCAGTGATTTTTTCCGCCGAGCGCTGCATGTGTGTGCGGGTCAGTCGGACTTTTTTCCAGTTTTTACCACGCACACTTGGGTAGCGTGTTTGTATAGGGGGTTGTTTGGGTGTGTGTGGGGAGGACGCCCGTTCTTTGTGCTTGGGGGATTGTAAAAAATGTCGTATTGGATTCTAGCTCTGCTAATGAATGATAGATAGGAGCCGTGCTCGTATTCCTACACGCTGCGTTCTGAAATCCTGTGCGATGTTTTTTTGCTTCAATTATATTGTCGTCATATGTGATGTGCGCTACCAATGAATATCACATGGAATATGACGAACGATTGGACGGTGCTTTTGGTTGCATTATTTATTACACAGCGTTTGAATTTGGAGTGTTTTTGAGACACTTATAGATACCTGATATAAATACTACATCGCGAAGTTATCATTTTTCCCTTTGGCCTACTTACATAAATGCTTGTATTTTCGAAAGTCCTTGCAAACGAACAAGTGAACTGAAGATATAAATTCAACTCTATGGTACTTGTGACATGGACGGTCCAAAGCGTCAAGTTTGACGTATTCTTGATAGAACGTGACAATGAATATGTTACAAATTATGATTACTTTTGCTCTTGGGGTACATGGAAAATTAAAAAAAAAATTAATACATGGTGCTTATGTTTGTTGTTGTCTTATTATTAAAATATCATTTACTTTTGTGTTTCATTTTAGACTATTTAGAGACGATGCGATGAACCGCAGAAATATTCGTCGCGCGGCAATCGCGTCGTCTTGTATTGTAAATTTGAAATTGTTATATACAACGGTTGTACAGTCGTCATTGTACATCGAACGGTCAAACATCACCTTTTCTGATGAAATAAATAAAAAAGAAAATAGGAAAAAAACTTTATAGTTTTACCAAAGTTTTGATATACAGTGTGTTTTTTTTAACTGGCACGGTATGGGAAAATAGAAAACCATAGAAGATACAAGGAAATTGTTTTAGGAGCCATTAATTTTTTTATGTGAAAGCAATTTTGGCACAGTCAATTTTTTGGTCAAGCGTGAGTTGTCCATAAAAGTAAGGTAATAAGTGTAAAGATCATTTCATTCTACGGGACGAAAAAATTAGGAAAGCAGAAAATGGTCTTTAATAAAATGTTTTTTTCATACAAAATAGCCCTCAAGCAGGGTTGTGGGCTCGAATCAGGGCAAGGCTCTGAGTTTCTCGAAATTTATGTGCGAATTTCTATTTGAAATTTACGTTGAGCTTTTCGAACAAGGAAAATATTGTGATGAAATCTACAAAGCGCTACGCCCCTTCACTGTGAGAAGAGGTCAGTGCTCAGCAGTGTGACTATATATATATATATATATATATATATATTGACTATTATTAAGTTTATTGAATGTCAGGATGTAACACCATGAAATTCATTAACTTTTGTGAAATTACCGCACTAATTTGTTATAACTATTAATACAAAGATCGAACACTTGGAAAAAAATACTTCTGCCTGGATACGAACTAACGTCTTCTAGCAAACCGTGGCAGATGCTATGTCAATTAAGCCACGACACGAACCAGCGGAATTTACGGACTTTTTTATGTGCCTATTGGAGATCTTTGTTTTTTGTTTCTTAACGATTTTTTCCTTAGTGCCATCTGTGAAAAATCTATTTCTATTACATAACTTCATTTATTATTAAGTGTGATGTCTTCTTCTTTAAATCCTAATAACAAATTATCCGTATGTATTGCCACACCTTAGGGTAAATGGCAATGCAACGTGTGAAACTTCCGGCCAGCTCTATTCGTCATATGAACTTTGGTTTTACTACTTGAAGACCATTTTACCGTGACACACATAGAGTTCTACGTTGTATCGATATAAGTGAAGATGAATTTAGCACTCTCATATCAACGTACTACGTTTTTATAAGTTAAAATATATTTTTTTAAATACCCTTAATATAAAAAAAGGTTTTTATTAGAATGTTATTGTAATTGAATAATTTAAAAATCACATACAACAATGAATATTTTTTTTTATGATATAGGATGAACAAGTCATGCGCCTGGTGTTAATCCACACGCCTGTCCTTAGCAGTTGCAGAGCCACTCAGAGCTTTATATAAAGATCTGAGGGGCACTGCCACTGTGCCTGCCACCCTGAGACACAAGTTGACAAGTCCTTTGTGCCGAAACAGCTAAGGTGGCAGTACTTTCCTGGACGAACTCTTTCACAAGGAACTCTACTGTTACTTTAGTCACAATATCACATTGTTATACGTCTCACAGCTGGGCACGGGTCGCTTCGAAGGAAAAGTTTATGCCATAGTCCTCAACGCTAACGCAATGCGATTTGGGAACCATCTTCGACATGCCTGTTTTTACCAAGATGTTTTGCACCACTGTTGGCTAGACGTATAGCTACTAAATAAGTATATGTACCGCTACAGGGATTCGAACCGTAGACGTGTGAATTTAGAAACATTCATTCTCCCGCTGAGCAGCCAGCGCTCTTTTTATTAAAGTTTCGATTAAAATATCACAGGAGATTTTAGTTCTCACTTTGTTTTTCTAATTTATTTGGTTTTTGTAACGTCTCTCTCATTTAGAAATTCAAAATTTATCTTTTAACATTTCTTTACTGCTTCAGGTTTACATTGTTAGAGCTTAAAACCTCTATTTATAGGTAGATAGAAGACTCCTTGAATTGATTGCCAAAACATGTTAATAGTTAATTTATTGAGTATGTGGTGTGGTAAATTGAAAATAAACTCTATTTAAGAATATGATGGTGTGTATTAATGTTAGATATAACTAGTTCACGAACACTATCCCGTCATCTACAAACATGGAGTCTGTATAGATCTTGCTAAAAAAATATGTAAGTGATTTTATATCCGGAAATTTAATTTCCAAAGTATAAATTTAAACAAAAAGTTCTGAGTCAGCCTTGATAAAGGGCGAAAATTTTTATTTTTCTTCTTTCTGAATTTTTATTGAATTGATATTCAATTATTTTTGTGAAATTATTCCACTAGTTTGTTATTTTAAAATACAGTGAATAGCGACATCTTTCGCCAGGCGTGCCGGTAGCTGCAAAGGTATCTAACTGGGTGATAAAACTTTTATAGATTTCTCATAGATGGCGACTAAAAAGTCGTTGTAAAACCAAATACGAAGACACGACAACAAGTACATAGAAAAATTCGTGAGAGTCGCTGGTTCGTTCCGTGGCTTTCTTCTATCTTTTTTTATTATTGTATCTGTTGTAAATCTTTTTCTTTTTCACTTTAGTACATATTGACAAAGCCTAGTGCTAATGTTTAGGTTGTAAATTTATAATATTATTTTTTATATCTATTTTTATTGAATAAAAATGTGTTTAAAAATATCGAGTTCTTAGATTTTCGCGATTGTTACACATAGGAAATGAAACTATTTTTCCGGATTTAAATCGCGTATATTTGTTTTTTCAAACAAACCGACGTTTCGGGCCCTTTACAGGCCCCATGGTCACGGTTGACTGAAGTCATTTAAAGTTTTTAAAATTTGAAGCGATTTAAATCCGGAAAAATAGTTTTATTTCCTATGTTTAAAAATATCCAAAAATATAAATTTTATAACCAATCTCCAAACATTGTAGAATGTCATGCCATTATGGCAATT